ATATATATATATATATATATATATATATATATATATATATATATATATATAATTTTCTTTTCTTGTACTAGTAGGACTAATTGAAGTGTGACTGTTTTAGAAAATAAAAAAACTATGACTGTCTCCATCCTCATCATTATTACAATACAAACTAGTTTGACCAGCCATGAGAAATGACCACTTCATTTTGATGGGTCTTTGAGGCATATCATGCTAAACTTAGAAGGTAAACAGGTGTCTCCTTGCTTTTAATACTATATCATCTTTTGTTGCTCTATTTACTCGTTCCTTGTTTTATGACCCACTTCTTATTCTATTTCCCTACAAAAGTATGCAAAATGATGAAGTCTCCCATTTGCTCAAATCTTGAATAATGTAATGTGTATTTTAAGGAGTCAAAGGCATTTAACCTTTTTGTTTTTATTTATCATCAATAATGTGGGTTATTCCTCCTCTAGTTAGACCATACCTTTTGTTTTCTCATTTTACCAAAAAGATAATATATACCTCCACTTATATCATTCACCTTTATTTTCATTCACACAAAAGACAAATAAAGAGAGTTGGATTACGCTTATAGTTGATAGCAGATAAGATTTTTCTAACTATATGAGAAAATCTTCTTTCCTAATTTGTATAAATAGAAGAGGAACATGTTAACGCATTAGTTTCAGTTTTTTCTGTCTCTTTTATATTAGAACAATCTCCCATGCGGATGTAGGCAACTCTACCGAAGGCTTCTACTGCTCCTCTGGGTGTCTGTGTGGAAGCCGGAAGGACGGGTGTTCACTTCCATCCTACACTGTAGTTCCTCTACTTCTGGCCCTTCTTTCCCTTCGTCGGTCACCTTCACCACCGCCGCCGACTGCGACGTCTATTTCTCTCACAAGAAAAGCAATAACGGAAGCTCCCACGGCCAGCAGCAGCCTACGCCAACCTCTCTGTCTTGTTGCAACTCCGCGGCCGCTTCCTGGCCAGCAGTAGCTGCTGGTGCACAACCCGAACTGCTACGAGATTCCTCGCCATTAGGAAGATCTCCTTCCGCCCAAGTATATTGGGAAGAACATCTTTAGAAGGACTACTCCCTGCGGATAGAAGACTGGTGATTCCTCTCCCGCCGCCTCCTCCTCTTTCCTGTCTGGTTGGAAAGTGCAGCGCCGTTGCTTACCTCTCCTCCGGCGCCTGCGGGCTTCTTCTGCCGCCTCTCCGACTCCATCACCTGCTGCCTCTCGGAGCACCGCAGTTGGTCCGAACTCGCCGACCGCTCGGCCACCTCT